GAATTCACTGACTTTCTAAACAAAACACAAGTGTTCTTCAATTAAGGCTAATATAATATTTGTAAAATATTTTCTGGTCTTTAAACGTGTTCTTGATATATTAGCACAACGACGTCATTATGCAGTGGAAGTCTTGTTTTCGGAAACATTTCAATTTAATGATCTTGTAATGTTTTTTTAATAAAATTGTGATACATCTATTATCGTATACTTTTAGTTTAATGTTCATTTATCATTTTTTATCATATTATTTGAATGTTTACGTAATGCTTTTATTAAAATCTCAATAAACTGTTTAATATTTGTGTAATGTTTTTTGAACGCTACAGTACATATATTAACAGTTTATCATTCTGGAGCTTAGTTTAATGTTTGTAATTTTGAATGTCACATATATTATCACATTTGTATTTTATTTCCTTGTTTGTAATGTTTTTTGAATGTAATGTTAAGTTATGTGTGTTATGTTAATGTGAAGTTTTTAAATAACATTATAATTTGTTTGAGTAACATTTCTTGAATGCTACTTTTATTATTACAGTATTATTTTAGACTCTAATCTAAAGTTTATGTAATGTTTTTTGATCGTTAATTAATTTAGTTTTATTTTTATGTAACGTTTTTGAATGGCATCATTTCTTTAATGTTTTTGAATGTTGCATATATTTTCACATTATCATTTAGGTTAGCATTTGCTAAACGTTTCTGAAAGTTACATTTTATCATAATTATAATGATTATATAATGTTACATTTTATTGTATAATTAGAATGTGTGCGTAACGTTTTAAATGTTACATTTTATTATAGAATCATAATGGGCGAATTACGTTTCATATTTTACATTTTATTATATAATAATAATGTGTGCGTTACATTTTTAAATGTTAAATTTTGTTATATAATTATAACGTATGCGTTACGCTTTTAAATATTACATTTCATTTTATAATTATAATGTATGTGTTACGTTTTTAAATGTTACATTTTATTATATAATTATAACGTGTGTGATACGTTTTTAAATGTAAAATTTTGTTATATAATTATAATGTTTTTTACGTTTTTAAAATGTTACATTTTATTATATTAATATAATGTGCGTGTTAAGTTTTAAAATGTTACATTTCATTACATAATTATAACGTGTGCATTACGTTTTTAAATGTTACATTTTATTATATAATTATAACGTGTGCATTACGTTTTTAAATGTTACATTTTATTATATAATTATAATGTATGCGTTACGTTTTTAAATATTACATTTCATTTTATAATTATAATGTATGTGTTACGTTTTTAAATGTTACATTTTATCATATAATTTGAACATATGCACCACGTTTTAAATGTTATATTTTATTATTTAACTATAATGTGTGTTAAGTTTTAAAATGTTACATTTTATTCTGTATTTAAAATGTGTGCGTTACGTTTTAAAATGTTACATTTTATTACATAATTATAACGCGTGCATTACGTTTTTAAATGTTGCATTTTATTGTATAATTATAATGTATGCTTAACATTTCATATGTTATATTCTCTTATATAATTACAATATTTGCATAATGTTTTTGAATGCTACATTTTATTGTATAATTATTTGCGTAACGTTTATGAATGTTAGATTTTATCATTTCATTGTAATGTTTCTAAATTATGATGTGTGCATAACATTTTTTTATGTTACATGTTTTTGCATGTTTTTGAATGTTTCATTTTATATCATCGTAAGATTTGTGTAATGTTTCTAAATGTTTTATTGTATTATATAATTATAATGTTTGCACAGCCTTTTTGAATGTTACATTTCATCATATCATTTTAATGTTTGCGTAATTGTGTAACGTTTCTGAATGGTCATGTTAACATAATATTATTGTTTGCGTAACGTTTATGAATGTTACATTTTATCATATCAATGTCATGTATGTGAATTATAATGTTTGCATAACATTTTGAATGTTACAATTTACCATATAATTATGTTTACATGTTTTTGAATATTTCGTTTTATATTATTGTAATATTTGCATAACGTTTTTCATTGTTACATTTGACCATATCACTGTAAAGTTTTTGAAGGTTACATTTTACTATACAATATGTGTAACATTTTTTTAATGTTACATTTTATCATATCATTTTATTGTGTGCTTAACAATATTGAATGATACCATTTATTATATAATTGTAATGTTTGCGTAACTTTTTTAATTCCACAAATATTTTCACTTATCGTTTAGTTTTAGCATTTAAGTAACATTTTTTAATGCTACAGTTTTGTCGTATGATTTCAAAGTTCACATAACTTTTTTCAAGGCTACATTTGATCATATTTTAATGTTTACGTAACGTTGTTGAATATGACATTTTATCATTTTCTATGAACTTTTGCGTAACGTTTTTGAACACATTTCATCATTTCATTTTAATGTTTGCGTAACGTTTTTGAATGTTACAATTTATCATATAATATTAATGTTTGCGTAACGTTTTTGAATGATACAATTTATCATATAATATTAATGTTTGCTTAACGTTTTTGAATGATACAATTTATCAT